AAAGAAAGAAAAGTGTTCCAGATTTCTGTTTTTTTCAGATTTTGAAATACTTGCATACACATAATGAGATATCTTGGGGATAAGACCCAAGTCCAAACACAAAATTCATTTATGTTTCATATACAGTTTATACACATAGCTTGAAGGTAATTTTATACAATTTTTATTTTATTATTTTTTATCTGAGACGGAGTTTCTTTCACTCTTGTTGTCCAGGCTGGAGTGCAATGCCGTGATCCAGCTCACTGCAACCTCTGTCTCCCAGGTTCAAGCAATTCTCCAGCCTCAGCCTCCCGAGTAGCTGGGATTACAGGAGTCTACCACCATGCCCGACTAATTTTTGTATCTTTAGTAGAGACGGTATTTTGCCATGTTGGCCAGGCTGGTCTGGAACTCTTGACCTCAGGTGATCCACCCGCCTAGGCCTCCCAAGTGCTGGGATGACAGGTGTCCAGCCAACATAAGGTTTTGTGTTTTTTTCAGACAGTCTTACTGTGTCGCCTAGACTGGAGTGCACTGGCATGATCTCAGCTCATTGCAACCTCTGCCTCCCAAGTTGAAGCAATTCTCGTGCCACAGCCGCCCAAGTAGCCGGGATTATAGGCGTGTGGCCCAGGCTCAAGCAATTCTTGTGCCACAGACTCCTGAGTAGCTGGGGTTACAGGCGTGTGACACCATACCCACTTAATTTTTGTATTTTTTAATAGAGATGGGGTTTCTCCATGTTGGCCAGGCTGGTCTTGAACTCCTCATCTCAAGTGATCCGCCCACTTTCTGCAACCTCTGCGTCCTGGGCTCAGTTGTCCTGCCTCAGCCTCCTAAGTAGTTGGGAGGACAGGCGTGTGCCACCATATCCAGCTAATTTTTGTATTTTTAGTAGAGATGGGTTTTGCTGTGTTGGCCAGGCTGGTCTTGAACTCCTGGCCTCAAGCAATCCACCCACCTCGGCCTCCCAAAGTTCTGGGATTACAGGCGTGAGCCACCATGTCCAGCCTGAGTACCTTTTTATATTAGTGATTTTTCATCTTTTATTTCTTGTTCTCTAAATAACAGTCATCTACTGTAGAGTATAATACATACTTAGAAGTCCCCAGATCACATATGGAAACTCAAAACAGGAGACTTAGGGCTTTCGATCTTAACTAGCTAAAAATTATAAAGTCACTAACTACATCTTATGATCATTGGGTATTTTATTGCATTTTGCCTTATTATTTTATTTTTAGTGAGAGGAAAATAGAAAAACAGAAGTGGTTGTACTAATCATATGGAGAAAACTAAGTGTCTCTGATTTAATACCGTTGAGCCCAAGATGGAAATTACTAGCTGACAAGAGGTGAATATATAAGTTTCATTTGGACATTTCATTGGACATCAGTCATGTATTTCATTGTGAAGGAAAACAAACACCATGCACGAAATGCTAGATACAAATGGTTGCACAAACAGCACGACTGGACGGAAGACACAGTCAACACCAAGCTGTCAGCTCTCAGGCTGCGACGCCAGCCACACCATAGCTCAAAATGTCCAGCAAAGTCTAAACTCAGTGTACAGAGAAAGGCAATTTGTGGGAGTCAGTGTATTCTTTAGGAAACTGTGCTCTGTCAGCCAGTACCAACGCCTTAAAAAAGAGAAGTCACACACTTACCTCAAGAACCACAATGACAGCATGTCATTAATTCTTTAATAAACATAGAATCTGCTTAAGAGGTAATTTTTTTTTTTTTGAGACAGGGCTCTCACTTTGTTGCCCAGGCTGGAGTGCAGTGGCACAATCATGGCTCACTGCAACTTGCACCTCCCGGGTTCAAGCGATTTTTGTGCCTCAGCCTCCTGAGCAGCTGGAACTACAGGCATGTGCCACCACGCTGGGCTAATTTGTATATTTTTTTAGTAGAGATAGGGTTTTGTCACGTTGGCCAGGCTGCTCTTGAACTCCTGGGCTCGAGTGATCTGCCTGCCTCGGCCTCCCAAAGTGCAGGGATTACAGGTGTGAGCCACCGTGCTCAGCCTGCTTAAGTTATAATATATTTATACTGTGGTAGGGGTAGAAGGCCTAGGCTAGAGAGACAGGGTGAAATGAATCTAGCCACTGAATCTTCTTATTCCTTTTAGACTCAATTGTTTAGACTTAGGGTTTTGAGATTTGCTTCGGCTGGCCAAGGATTTGTGGCTTAGTGCTGTGAATCCAACCAAGAACAATAAAGAGATGCCGCATAAAGCTAGGAAGAGTTGGTGCACCTGGCTCAGTGACACTGCGGTATCAGATGCTCTCGGGCACTGGAAAAGTAGGGTTTCAGAGGCAAAGGACTGAGGATCAGCAGAGAGCTGGTGCCACTGCTATCCCGCCAACTCTCCAAAACACCTTCTGGCCAGATACCAATTCTAAGTTTGGGCTCTATAAAACAGTCACACAGTTTTAAACGCTAACCCTGAGGATTAAGAAAATATGCGAAGAAATGCTCTTACTTATAGCTTCGAAAGTAAATCTTCCCATTCAGTGCAGTGAAGTGCAGAACATACTCTAATCCAGCCAGGCGGATATTTGATACTGTGGGGCCTCTGAAGAAATCTAAAAGCACATATTAAATTGTTAACAAAACAAAACAAATACTTGCAAAATTCAGTTACAACTGCATTCTAAACAGTTTTGTTCCAATACTTATCTAAAAAAGCACAAAAAACGATTCCTGAAAAATGTCGGAAGGTCTCACCCCTTAAGCATTTAATCTCATGACTTTATTTCTGTGTTCAGTTCACTGAGACATTTAATGTTTCAGTTT